CCTGCTCCCTGCTTGCTGCCAAGCAAACTGCCACTTGCCATGCAGACACCATCCTTCCCTTCGCTGTGGATGGGCACCTCCTTAGCGCTCTTCACTTCATGGCAGCCTCAGCTGTGGCATGTGATACCCACCTTCACCACAAGTTCAGACCAAGCTTCATTTCTATGCTTGACCACCCACATCCTGGTTATAACAATCCCAAACACACGTTTACCAGCTGAGGAGCCAAGAGGTATTAATCCCTGCTTCACCAGCACTGATCAGTACCGTCTGCTCCCACACAACATGATGCAGTCACACAGCAGCATCCAGCACTCGCTTCTCCACTGTGTCTTCCACACACTACCCAGAGAACAGTCCAGCTAGCAGGCAGGCAGGGCACTGTTTCAAGATACTGCAAAATGAATAGCAGTAAATAAAAGAAAATTAGAAGTACATCTACAGCTGACAACCCTTGTCCCACACCAGGAAAGTCAATACAAGTAAAGATTCTGTCTCCAGAATCCAAATACTGTCACCTTGAGCAAGCAGATTTGTTTTAGAAGAGGCCCAGTGTCTGCAACCCTTACTGACTTCACCAGTGTCTCTGGGTAAAAAGCAAAAATAATTAAAGTAACAGTGACATTCTAAGTAGAGATTGTTAACATTAACACAACGGTTGTGCAGAACACGTAAAAATAGGAACTTTGATGAGGTATGACTGCTACCGTTCTTCCAGCTGAACAGAAGATAGATACACACGTCTTCATTATTTTTTAAGAATGTTCTGTCCAAAAGAAACAAAGATTTTGCAGTCCTCAGCCCTGCAGCTACCCTGTACAGGGAATTTCTTACAGATCTCGAAATGAGAATAAGTCAATTTACAGTGCTAGAACAGACTGGAAACTAACACCCCATGGCAGCCCTTTTTGAAGCCTTTGCCATTTGGAGTGGCAAGGGCCAGGAATCTCTTTTCTCCTTATGGAGAAGCAGAGCAATGCCTTTGGAAGGCTTTTTTTCTCCTCAAGATGCAGAAGCACAGACCTTTCTCTTTTCTGGCGGGGGGCAGTCTTGGCTGAAGACATACATACCCATCTCAAATCCAAAGTACCAGGATATTTATGCCTGCAAGGACTGCCCTCTCAGACAATCTTCTGCAAGAATTATATTGGTGCAGTACATGCTATAAAATGTTTGGGCTTTATACTTAAGAGACCTGAAATAGGAAACATGACCTTGTGTTGACTTGAGTGTACTAAACTTTCCTACTTTCAAACCCATTTTGCCCTATTTACATATGTCTGTGGAAAAAAGAAGATAGTCTGTAAACATCTTTTTCATTGTCTAGACGATAACGGTTGTAAAATTTGAGTCTGAAGACCACTTACATCTGCCATCCAGAGGGACCTTTACCGGCTGGAGAGGTGGGCCTGTGTGAACCTCACGAAGCTCAACAAGGCCAAGTGCAAGTTCCTGCATCTGGGCTGGGGCAATCCCAAGCACAAACACAGGCTGGGTGATGAGTGGATTGAGAGCAGCCCTGCAGAGAAGGACTTGGGGGTGCTGGTGAGTGAAAAACTGAATACGATCCAGCAATGTGCGCTCGCAGCCCAGAAAGCCAATGGCATCCTGGGCTGCATTGCAAGAAATGTGGCCAGCAGGTCGAGGGAGGGGATTCTGCCCCTCTGCTCTACTCTGGTGACACCCCACCTGGAGCACTGTGTCCAGCTCTGGGGGCCCCAGCACAAGAATGGACATGCTCAAATGGGTCCAGGAGAGGAGCACAAGATGACTGGGCTGCTGGAGCACCTCCCCTCTGAGGACAGGTTGAGAGAGGTGGGGTTGTTCAGCCTGGAGAAGGCTCCAGGGAGACCCTATAATGGCCTTCCAGTGCTTAAAGGGGGCCCACAGGAAAGGTGGGGAGGGACTGTTCCTCAGGAAATGCAGTGATAGGACGAGGGATAATGGTTTCAAACGAGGGGTAGATTTAGATTATATGTTAGAAAGAAATTATTTACTGTGTGGTGCACTGGAAGAGGTTGCCCAGAGAAGCTGTTGGCTGCCCCCTCCCTGGCAGGGTTCAAGGCCAGGCTGGATGGGGGTGGGAGCAACCTGGTCTGGTGGAAGGTGTCCCTGCCCATGGCAGGGGGGTTGGAACCAGGGGATCTTTGAGGTCCCTTCCAACCCAAACCATTCTATGATCCTATGATTCTGCTCTCTTATGCACATGGCTTTCTTTGGTGAACGGCGTATTTTCCTGAACTCAGAAGTAAGATTAAAAAAAAAAATTAAAAAATCACCACTGTTAATTACATATAAGGTCCTGGAAACAGCAGCAGAAGTTAAACGCTGAAACAAAAAAGCAAAGAAAAAAAAGAAGATTCACAAATTTTACACCTTACAAGAGTCTGGATTCAACAAACATTTATAGTTCTGTTTTCTTCCTCTAAAGTTAAAAAAGCAATTAATATTTTTAAGTATACAGTTTTTAAAAGTGTTTAATGATTGACACGTTTTCAATCAATTTCCTAAATGGCTTTAGCAAAATCGAGTACAATTCCTACAGTTACAGCAGTTCAACATTTATATATTTATATTGTAATGTTTGTAAGTTACGCTCTCCACTTCCCAGAATGGCCCTCTTTCATCACATAATTGATTTAAGTGTCATTTGTGAAATGTGTTGTACTCTGACACATACCTGTTTTAGGATTCTAGCCAAATTCTTCCAAGGGGCTTTTACAGGGATATATCAGCATCTTAGATCCATGGCACTTTCTTAACAGGAATGCAGATGCAGTTTCTCATTAGAAAGACAGCCCGATTTCCAACTTAGCCCAATTGACGATAGCCTAACGAGAAGCAACATGATCTATACCACACAATTTGTTACATAAATCCTAACGTGGTGCTAAAATAACAGTGGAAAAATATGTTTGGCTAGAGGCAAAAATTCAGCTCTCTTCCCTTCCGCTTCTTTGACTTAATGAAGAGACACACACTTAACTAATTGCTTTGGCAGGCCAGCAGGCTGTCTTTGCTTAATAATACCATTAGGAATTCCACAAGGTTTCAGCTTCTAATATTACGGATCTTCAACATATGCTTTTTAAAAGTGAACCTCACAATTACTTTCCCATTCAAAAGACGCTTTTTCTCTCAATTCCTCATGCTAGTTGCTGCATCAAGCGTAACAATACACAAATATGCAACGCGCAGTCCAAACTAGGCACTTGTCTGTCTCAGAAAAACTTAATACTTACAGAGCACTCTGCTAACAAAAGTATATTCGGACCAACTCCGAGTTCACAAATAAGAGAAAACTACCTTCCCCACATGCCTGCTTCAGGCTTGCCACATACATCTGTCTGAATCTGCTCAACGGCACGATGGCTCTTCATCTTACAGTTCTGATTTGTGAACACGCAGCAAAACTCCAGTTTCATATTCACAACAGAAAACAAAGAATCTAAACACCAAATCGGGTCTTATTTGTCCTTCTTCACACTTAATTAGACTCCTCTTTTTGGCTAGTTTTTTCACTCTTTCTAGATCTAGTAGTCCGTAACAAAGCAATAGGCAGACAAGCATTTGAAAGAGGGCTGGCTTTTGTCTTGGAGCCCACTTTTTTTTTTTTTTTTTAAATAGTCATGTAACATTTAAAGAAAAGATACTACTGCCATAATCCAACTAGCTTCCTCCCCTATCTGTTTTATGCAGCACAAAGCATAGTAGAAAATATCATTATCAGCTTCCTACAAATGGCTGACATGTTATTAGAATAGGGGCAGGGGTGGGGGGCAACCAGAGATCTAAATGCATAACCAGTAAGGAGGTTAACATGCTTAGTCTAAAACTGCAGCTTCCCAAACATCTGCTTAGCAGCCTAACTTTCTGTAGTAAGAGATTCACTGAGTCAGAGAGGAACTACGCATGAACAGAGCCCTACAATATTGGCCTGGACATCAGCTCGAATGGGGCAGGCCCAGAATCAGGTCACTCCCAACACCTTTTCTTCCCCTCCAATGTGCATAAAGTCTCTGATCCTGTGAACACTTAATTCTTTTAATCAAACTGGAAGTTCTACTGATACAGTCGCAAATGCACCACTTGAAATGCACCACTACTCTACAGCCTTGGTGTTACAGTGTGCTCCACAGGAGAAAAAAAACTGATGCTCTATCAAGCAGAGGTCATAAACTAAACAAACCCACAGTCTTACACATTGTTAGCCAGTGCTCCCACCTCTAGACTGAGAGTAGCCTTTAGTCAGCTCACAATCCTCCTCCTTCTGTTATTGCTCCAATGGTGAAAGACAGTAGCAATCGTCAGGAAACAACTACAGGATAAGAAACACTTCAAAAGAAGTACCTCCAGACATAGATAGGGTAAGATGATTAGGATCCAAGAAGGGTGGAAACTAAGACAGAGCCTTGCCATCTGCACTCCATGTTCACTTGTAAAAGCAGCTCTGTGACTAGCATATTTACTTTACACTTGACATGACTATTTTTGTGGTTCTTTATAGGCACTGAACGTAACCTAAACACAATGCAAAGCCCTTGTATGCAATTTTGGATTCCAATAGCAAGCTCGACATAAAATTTTAGGAGGTGTGATACTCACAGTAGGGCTGTGAAGTCTGTCTTGGATTACAGTTTCTTCTATCACAGCCTCCAGAAAAACCTAAAGACGTGGTTGCTACAGCCATGCTAGTAAATGACATGATCTGAAATGACTGGCACTTTGCAGCCTCAAAGACCCCCCTGCACCTTACAAAGGAACATGCCACAAAAAATATTTCAAGGAATAAGAAAGTGTTATGCTAGTGACCGTGTTCATGGGAAAACAATTTGCATATCTAAGTGAAAAAGCATCTTCTCATCAAAGTCTCTCTCATTACTGGACCATCTTGTACACAGGGTCGCCAACTTGAATGGTTCCGGTTTTGTCAACAGCGAAGTATCTTCCAAAGAGAGGGCTGGACTTGTAGATGTGTCGCTCAGATGGATCACATAAGCGGTAACTGCAGAGAAAGAGCACTGCTTTAGAATCAGCGTCAGCAAATTCTAAAGATCAAAATATCAGTGACGAGAGAGAAGACTATGAATAGCGATGCTCTGGTTTATCACCATACTAGACTAAAAACTAAATAAATATTATAATTAAGAGAAACAACCAGTTCAAATGGAGAAAAAAAAGCCTGACTGTATTCACACATCCATGAATAATACACATACAAAAGACTTTGTAAGAAAAAACACCAAAGTTGCAGAGTTAGACCTTTGAATATCTTAAATACCTGTCAGCCCAGGCATTCACCCTAAGAGATGAGAGATAGGGAATGTAAAGTTTGCAAGAAAGAAGAGAGAACTTCCTGACTTTTCTTACCATATAGAATTGCAGAAAGTAGAATGGAGACTAATATGCACAGACCTTTACACTGCATTATTATGTCCCACACGTACTTCAAACCACTTTTAAAACTCTAGTCTAACATCTGTTGGGATCTAGCATAAATCCACTCCCACAGTCTAAGCAGCACTGGTATTTTTACAACCTTTTCAATGTTTCCAGGGGCTCCTTCCTGTCCAGGACCCCAGTGTCTGGGTTAACAGTTGTTAAAATACACCTGCAATGACAGACAGTGCCAAATCAGTAACGGCTTCTTATCATAAATGTCTATACATCTATATAAAACAATGGTCTCGAACGTTTACCTGGCACAACACACTGTCCCCTTCAACTCCACATCACCAATAAGAATGTCCTCCCAGATGTCCTGAGGGAAGGTAAACATTATGTACAGATTAGACACATCCACATGCAACCACTTTCCCAGTCATTCCTAGAAGAAGCAGTACCATTCCAGATGATCACCTTTACTTGTACCTTCAAAATAAGCAAGGTTATATATATTATGGTACTATTTTATGAAAACCCTAGGGTCACCACATTCATCCAATTCAGGACCCACTAGTAATTGTATCTGGAGAGAAAGATACACAAGTAACAAATCCCGTTCTGCAGCATGCATTTGTCTGAACCTAAAGCAAGCTTATTCTTACTCTGTGTGTGATAATCTGATGTGTGACCTCTGATAAGTCATCATTTTTTCAGAAAGGAAATTTTTAGCGGAAGTTAAGTTCTCATGTCTTGTCTACACAAGCTTCCTATTGCAATCCCTCCTGGAAGACAAAAATCCATTCTCTTTTTAACAGATTCTTAGATTTGGGAAATTATCAGATCTATCCAAAGCAATTTCTTGGGAAAAACTGCAACATGACACAAAAACATGTAAATGCCACCATTACCAGTTCACTTCATCACCAGGTACCTTCCTAGATGGTGTTTTTTGAACTACCAGAGTATCATCAGAGATGCAGCGACAGACTGCAGTGTGGCAAGGGTCAGTTTCACTCTTGTGCCAGAGGCTATAAAACCTCACGTTGCCAATTTACAAACTGTCCATTTGTATCAATTATAGCCATGCATAGCTTTCCCTACTTCACACTTAAAGATGAGCTTTCAGGAGCAAGCCTGTCGTTCAAATACACTTATTTTATCCTCTGCTAAGTTAAATAAGCATTCACAGACCTGTCTCCTCCCTCAACATTTCACACACACTGACACGAGCAAAAGCTGTATCTCTCTGGAATCTAGTTGTAAAAAGCACAGAATAGCAGTTTTCCTCATACTTGCAGGCACCACCACACAAGGACATTGAGTTACAAAGAAACATAACCAAGCCTTCAAAAGACGGTTATTTTACCTCCTCGAAAGCACCACAATCTGCCACAAGAATATTTGGCCTGAAGTTTTGTATCTTAACTTTCTTCTCCAGCCTAGTATTTAAATCTTCCAGCGAAGCTTCCGAGATGATCAAGACTGGGCTGCAGTCAGGATAGGCAACCTACGTAAACAAACACAAACAAACCCTAAGGCTGCTGCAAGAGCACAGGAGGAAAGTTACTGAACAGCGAAAGGACAGATACGTTGGAACCAGGGGTCACATATTAGCCTGCCCGTCACGCTGCTGCATTCAGGTTTTAATTTCCCTGGAAGTAGGTTAACCAGTAAAATAACAGGCCCTTTCTTATTTCAGTAACCACAGCAAGTTTCATTTGCTCAAATTGTAAAATTTAACTTCTACTTACAGAATAAACCCAAAAATATAAAATCTACCACAACTTCTTACAAAATAATACTGTATGCATGTCCCAGACACTTGTTCTAAGTATTACAGACAGAACTAAGTGTACCAGTAAAACATGTTGAGG